TTCCATTCAATTACACTCCATGGTTTGATTATTCTGAAATGACTTTCTGTCTTAAAAATGAATCTACTTTTTCTTTATTAAATTCATTGAATTTGAATGTCAAAAATAAACATATCTTTATGGATCGTTTAGAAATAAGTAGGTGTGATGAACTTACTATTAATTCTCTTTTAAATTCCATTGAAACTAAAACTATCAAATTTATTGATTGTACTATTTGTTTCAATAAAATCAATTTCTATCCTCTTCAAACGTTAACTTCTCTTTGGATTAAAAGAATGAAATCATTAGATCTTCTTCTATTAAATCAAATGAAACAACTTAATTCTCTTCGTCTTGAATATATTGAAGAAACAAAAAATGTCAAATCTTTATTAGAAAGTGAGTATCTAAAAAAACTCATCATCAAAAACTGTAGAGGAATTTATCTGAAAACAATCGTTAGAATGAAACATTTACTTACATTGGATTATGACCAAAGAGACTTACCAGTTAAAGGACCTTTCAAGAAACTTCTCAACAAATTAAATCTAAGTCATAACAATGAATTTCTTAAGTATTATACTTACCTCAGACAATTACCAAATTGCAAATACAACTCTGTTCAAATAAATTTCATTCATCCATCACTAACAGACAACTACTATTATTTTAATCATACCATTGAATAACATCTCTTTCTTTTAACTGTTTTCTTATTTAACGACAAAAAAATAATCTATAATAAACTTATATTTTTATTAGATATTCATCAATATACAGCTCCTGTCTTATCATTTATTATCATTTTATCATCCTGTCTTTTACTTTCATTTAATTAGAATGACATTCATCAATCATAAAACAAAATGTTGTTTTTCACAAACACTCAACAGACTTTTAAATAACTAATTATTCATTGGTTCATACAACTATTCTTTTTTTGATTTTATGCTTTATTTGTAGTTATGTTTTGTTTTTATTTATAAGGAGTTAAAACAAATGAACAAACAACAATTCTTGTTCTTATCATGTTATTTTATTTTGACTTTTGTTATAAAGAATATTTTAATTAATTAGAAAGTACAGAAAGTGGTTTAATGATGTTTTAATTATGGTTGAATTAAAGCCATTGTTATTTGAATAAAGCATAATTACTAAAGAAAAGAGCAACAACAACAACAATTATGTTTGAGATATTTTGGATTACCTTCTTCAGCTCAGTCTAAAACTCAAAACTAGAAAAAGTATAAAAAGAATGAAAACTAAATTGAGTCTGTTTGAAATGGTAATTGTTGGGAGTTATTTTCATTCTAAAAAGGATTTCATTAAATTGACTATGGTGTGTACAAAATACAATAAAATTTTAACCTTTTATCATTATAATCCAATTGCAATTACACAAGGAATGGAGAAATTCTTTCCAAATATCCATACCCAACATCATTACCATCGAGATGATATTGTGTTGAATGTAGGTTTTCATCTGTGTGAATATGAAATGTCTATTGATGAATATAATGAGATTC